ATGACGGAAGATGTTAGCGACGAATTTGCCAGGGTTCGAACCCCAAAGAGCAATTGATTCTCTTTGTCTGTCGCGCTCTCGGCGCATCCTTGAGGCCATCTCGAAAATCTCTGTGATTCTAAGATGCACTGATAAGGAACTGGTGGATGGGTCACGCAGCTGTCGCGTCAACTTTTTAGTCTGTTGTGAAGAAAATGAGGAACAATGAAATCTGAAGAATTAGGCTTGAGATATCTACGCGGCACAAAATCTAGAATGTCCTTGGAAACATTGGACATGACATCACGAAGAATGGTTGCATCGCTACGGGAGATCTAATATAGTTATTTATTAAGTTGTTATCTACGCAGTCGTAGATCATGTAAGTTCGAACGGTGCTGGTCTTTTTTGAAAAGGCAAGCGGTAAGCAACAATGAATTAATACGTGGTCGCTCTCAATGAGGTCCATTTTGAAAGCAACAGAAAGAGAAGCAATGTCATTGGCAAAGATTAGATCTAAAATGTGATTATCTCTTGTTGGAGAGCGCACCAGTTGAGACATATTAGAAAAATTGACAATATCTTGAAAGGGCTGGAATCTGGGTGGACAGCTATTGGAAACCCAGTTAAAGTGAACACTCGATTCAGGGATGGACAGCAGTCCAGTTGTTTGGATTTCATCATCACCAGGGGTGATAGTTGCATTCTCGGATTGGAATCGCACCCGCCCCTTGGCCGAAGTGACCACTGCGTTCTTGTTTGAGAGTATAGTCATTTTTCAGTACCCGAAATTCCAGCTGCTGAGGGAAGAAACGTATGGAAGGAGGATTATACCCGAATGAAAAACCTGCTACAGAAGGTGAACTGGAATGCAGCACAAGGACCTGACTCAGAAAGCGATTGGCTCTTCTTCAATAACATAATGCAGCACTTGGTAGAGAGCTCTTGCCCACAGAAGAGGAAACCGCGCACATCCCCACCAGAGTGGGTGACGTCAGAAATAAAGAAGAACCTTAAATTGAAAAAGAGACGGAAAAAAAGTACGCCAGTTTTCGGCAACTAGAGCATTTGGTTGACTTCAAAAACCAAGGAATATATGTCGGAATCTGTTGAGGAGGGAACGGACACAGCTTGAGTCAAAACTTTTAAAAAATGTCCCGCAAAATTCAAAAAATTCTTTGGATACGTGAATAAAGCAAAACGCAACCGGGACTGCATTCCCTGCCTAAAAGATCGCCAGGGATATACGCTGTCTGACAACTCAGATAAGGCGAGTCTGTTATCCGACTTCTTCACGTCTGTGTATACTGAAAAGCCGGCTTTTGATGAAAGAGGTTACCCCCCAAATATCAAATGAAATAGTACAATTAGCACGGTGGACTTCACAACAGACACGGTAAGGAAAACTTTGAGGCAACTACAGCCCACTAAATCCCCTGGTCCGGACGGCGTGTTCGCGAAAGTTCTGAATGAGCTCTCAGACCAACTGGCCTCTCTGTTATCCAAGATCTTCAAAACATCGATGGAGACCGGGGCTTTGCCTACCGATTGGAAGAAAGCAAATATAAGCCCCATTTATAAAGGTGGCGAGAGAACAGCCCCAAATAGTTTCAGACCAGTGAGTCTGTTGGGAGTGCATACACTCCCAAAAACAAGAGCCAGCCAATCACGGGAGGCCACGTGCGTTTTCTCTACTGCGCTGTCATCTTAATCGTGGCGCCTCTCCATTGGCTTTTCCTCGCGGGCCTGATCGATCAGCATATTCGAATTATCGACCGGCTCGTCTCGAAGGTTCTTCCCGAAGGGCATTGGGCCGAACGCCGGCGAAGCACCGTAAGGCGTTATAAATACGCGTTACTTCCAGTTCATGTTGACTTGCATTTTCCTAATACACAGTTTCGTGGCCGGTTGCGTTCCCCTTCTCTGCCGCGTTGGTATTGGGGACAAGGGTCGAGTGCGCATACGCTCCACAGGATTTCACGTACCAGGCGGGTCATAACAATTGGCAACGCAGTTTTTCAACTACCATGGCTGACGAGTACGCAGACTTGAAGCAGATGTTGCAGCAGCAGCTGAAGCTGATGGAGGCTCTGACCGTCAAGCTATCCAATTCAAGCCAATCAGGCGCGGCTGGTGGTTCACAATCTGTTGATCACATTGCCGGCAGCATCACTGAATTCCTGTATGACCCGCAGGCCCATATCACCTTTGATTCCTGGTACAAACGAAACGAGGACTTGTTCTCTGCTGCCCAGGACGATGCATGGAAGGTTCGACTCCTTCTTCGCAAACTGGGTGCGGCTGAACACGAGCGTTATGCAAACTTCATCCTCCCCAAGAATCCCCGAGAGGTCGCTTTCAAGGACACGGTTGAGACGTTGTCGCAGATATTTGGTGAGCAATCATCCCTCTTCAACACTCGATTTCAGTATCTGCAACTGTGCAAACGAGATTCCGATGATTTCATCACATATGCGGGCATTGTTAATCGTGAGTGTGGGCGTTTCCAATTCGGTTCTCTCACTGAAGACCAGTTTAAATGCCTTATATTTATCTGCGGCCTCCAGTCCCCCAAGGATGCTGATATCCGGACACGTCTCCTGTCCAAAGTGCAGCAGAACAACTCTACCACACTCCAAGAGCTGGCAGCAGAGTGCCAAACGCTGATCAATCTCAAGCACGACTCTGCAATGATTCAGAACCCTGCCTCATCTTTCTCAGTCCATACGGTCACATCGACCAAATCGCATCCTGTTACACGGCCCAAGCAAGTGTCCAAGTCGAGATCTCCGCCATCTCCTTGTCGGCACTGTGGCGCGTGGCATTTCCACCGGGATTGCACTTTCCGCCAGCATCGCTGCCAAAGCTGTAATCAGGTGGGACACCGTGATGGGTTCTACAAATCAGTACCAGCTTCTGGAGGCAAGTCAGCCCCCGCCACTCCTAATTCCAGGCACCGTTGCCGGCCAAAACGCAAGCCCAAACCCCAGTCCGTTGGTAATTCTCTGAGTCTCTTGGCCGCTTTCCAGCTCAATGCGTCTGGTCGTAGAAAATTTGTTGATGTCTTGCTCAGTGGCCATGCAGTTCGTCAACAGTTGGACACTGCCTCAGATATCACCATCATCTCTGAGAGACTCTGGCAGTCACTTGGCAGTCCCACGATGCAGCCGACTTCCCAGTACGCCACAAGCGCGTGCGGTGGTCTCGTACAGCTAATTGGGCAGCTGCAATGCTGTGTGTCGTTCCGCGGTACCAGCATCACCGCGATCTGCTACATCACCAAGCCTGATCTAAACCTACTTGGTCTCGACTGGATTGAACAACTTGGGTTGGCCGATATGCCGCTCCGCGTTGTTTGCAGTCAGGTGCAGATTCCCGCTGTGCTTGCAGACCAAGCCAAGGACATTCTCCAACGCTTTGCTCCAGTGTTCCAAGACGGCCTGGGTCGTTGCACATACACTCAAGCCGTGCTACATCTGTCTCCTGGAAGTCAACCAGTCTTCCGTCCAAAGCGACCAGTCCCATATGCAGCCCTACCACTTGTCGAGGCTGAACTGAAGCGTCTAGAGGAATTGGGAGTTCTGGTTCCTGTATCCTACTCCGCCTGGGCCGCTCCAATCGTTGTGGTTAAGAAGCCCAATGGCTCGGTGCGCATTTGGGCTGACTTCTCCACCGGTCTCAGTGCGGCGCTGACGCCGAACTGCTATCCATTACCGGTTCCGGCTGATCTTTTCATCCTGCTGAATGGTGGCACTTGCTTTGTCAAGTTGGATCTCGCTGATGCGTATCTGCAGATCGAGGTCGCCCCAGAGTCGCGCGAATTGTTAACCATCAATACCCACCGCGGTCTGTTCCAATACACCAGGCTGCCCTTTGGTGTCAAGACCGTCCCTGCCCTATTCCAACAAACGATGAACGCAATGCTCTCCGGCATCCCTGGCACAGCTGGGTACCTGGACGACATCATCATCGTGGGTCGCTCCCCTGCCGAGCTGCAAGACCGAGTGTGCGCAGGGCTCGAACGCGTGCAGGAATATGGCTTTCGCCTACGGGCCGACAAGTGCCAATTCTTCCTCGACTCCATCAAATACCTTGGATTCGTTTTTTACGCCAATGGTCGCCATCCAGATCCTGAAAACATTCGGGCCATCCAACGGATGCCTGCCCCCAAGAATGTATCGCAACTTCGTTCGTTCTTTGGCCTGATCAGCTACTATAGCGCCTTCCTACCATCGCTGCATGACGTACGGACCCCGCTCAACCGTCTGTTGCAGAAGGATGCCCCTTGGTGCTGGTCCCCCGACTGTGAAAAGGCCTTCGTCCAGCTAAAGTCGATGCTGAGTTCAGATCTATTGCTCACGCACTACGACCAGACGCTGCCGATCGTTGTTGCTGCAGATGCTTCTAACCACGGAGTTGGTGTCGTCATCTCACATACTTTTCCTGATGGGTCTGAAAAGGCGATCATGCATGCATCTCGCACGCTAACCCCTGCGGAGAAGAAATATGGGCAAATAGAGAAAGAAGCTCTAGCCCTCGTGTTTGCCGTCAAGAAATTTCACAAACTGTTGTACGGTCGCCACTTCACGTTGTTGACGGATCACAAACCATTGCTGTCAATCTTCGGTTCGAAGAAGGGCATTCCCGTTTACTCAGCCAGCTGACCTCAGCGATGGGCAACCATCCTTCTTGGCTATGACTTCGACATTCGCTACTGTCGTACTACAGACTTTGGTCAGGCTGACGCCCTTTCTCGCCTCATCAGCAATCAGCAGGAACCGGAGGAAGATACCGTGATTGCAGCTATTTCGATTGAGAACGATGTGCGCCGTCAGTTATCAGACGCCATACGAGGTATCCCTGTCACTGCCGCGGACATCCGGCATGCTACTGAACAGGATCCTGTCCTCCGTCAGGCCATCACTTACGTGCAGACCTGATGGCCAACCATTGCTCTCGCTGGTGATCTTCGTCAGCTCTTCCTCCGACGAGCATCGCTATCTGTGGTTGACTCCTGCCTCATGTTTGCGGACCGTGTGGGGATCCCATCTTCCCTCCGACCCACTGTACTACGCCAGTTCCATGCCGCTCATCCTGGTACCAGCCGAATGAAGTCTATTGCTCGCAGTTTTGCCTACTGGCCGGATATCGACGGCGACATCGACGACCTGGTTCGACGCTGTTCTCGATGTCAGCAAGCTGCCAAGATGCCGCCTCGTCAACCTCCAATACCCTGGCAACCACCGGAGAGGCCTTGGTCACGCGTGCATATCGACTTCGCTGGCCCACTTAACGGAGTCTCCTACCTAATCTTGGTTGACGCCTACTCGAAATGGCCCGAGATTGCTCCGATGAATCCAGCAACCGCATCTGTCACTGTCGCCTTCCTACGACGCATCTTTAGCCAACATGGCTTACCAGAAGTCCTGGTTTCAGATAATGGCTCTCAGTTTAATTCGTCGTCGTTTGAGGATTTCTGCCGCCAGCACAACATCCAGCATCTTCGCTCCCCGCCCTACCATCCTCAGTCTAACGGGCAGCCGGAGCGTTTTGTCGACACGTTTAAGAGAGCCCTCTTGAAAGCTCGTGGGGAGGGGACCACGGACGAGATAGTCCAGGCGTTCCTGTTTTCCTACAGGACGACACCGAACCCGGCGTCCCCTGGTGGTGTTTCTCCTGCCGAAGCGTTGATGGGCCGAAAACTGCGTACAACGTTTCATGCCCTCGTCCCAACCGGTGCGCAGCCCGCGCAGACTTCTCCAGTTTCTAGCAGCAAGCTCTCCATCGGAACACCTGACTTCGTTCGTGATTATCGAGCGGGGTTCCCAGACTGGATTGAAGCAACCGTAGTATCGCACAGAGGCAGTATGTTGTTTGACGTCGACGTTGGTGATGACATCTGGGTTCGCCACCACAACCAGATCCGACGGCGACATTGCAGTAACACAACTGGGCTCGATTCGGCGCCGTCACTCTCTCTCGACATCCTACTGGATACCTTCGCCATTCCGGCAGATCAGTCGGTTCCCGAACCCACTTCTGCGCCCCCATCGGATATACCATCTTCGGTATCAGTTACCGCTCCCGTATCTCCAGGCACTAAACCACGACTAAGACGCCGGACCAACCGCGTGCGCCGATCAACACGTCTGATGCAGGTCAACCCACGCCAGAAGCGGTACTGACCTACTTGGAGGGAAGGTGTTGGGAGCGCCTACACTCCCAAAAACAAGAGCCAGCCAATCACGGGAGGCCACGTGTGTTTTCTCTACTGCGCTGTCATCTTAATCGTGGCGCCTCTCCATTGGCTTTTCCTCGCGGGCCTGATCGATCAGCATATTCGAATTATCGACCGGCTCGTCTCGAAGGTTCTTCCCGAAGGGCATTGGGCCGAACGCCGGCGAAGCACCCTAAGGCGTTATAAATACGCGTTACTTCCAGTTCATGTTGACTTGCATTTTCCTAATACACAGTTTCGTGGCCGGTTGCGTTCCCCTTCTCTGCCGCGTTGGTATTGGGGACAAGGGTCGAGTGCGCATACGCTCCACAGGATTTCACGTACCAGGCGGGTCATAACAGATTCTCACTAGCATCTGTTGCAAGTTGATGGAAAGGGTAATAAAAACGGAGCTGATGCGGCACCTCGAAGAAAACAACTTGCTCAGTCTACATCAGCATGGATTCCGAAGCGGTCGATCTTATCTTACCAGCCTCCTAGTATCCATGGAGAGCTAGACGAAATCAAGTGACATGGGCTTATCAGTCGACGCCGTGTACATCGACTTCAAAAAGGCTTTTGACAGTGTTCCACACAGACGACATATATGTTAACTACGTCAAGTGGGTGTGAATGGAAATCTTTTGAAATGGCTAGCCGATTTTCTGACGGGCAGATCTCAGCGTTTGTGTATCGGAAACGCCAAATCGGAATGGGCATCCGTGCACAGTGGCGTTCCGCAGGGAAGCGTTCTGGGTCCAATTCTGTTCCTTATATATGTGAACGACCGCCCGGATTGTCTAAGATGCGAGCGAGTAATGTTTGCCGACGATCTCAAATTGTGGCAATCAATAGAGAATCCGGAAGATTCTGTACAATTACAAGACAATTTAAATCGCTTGCAAAAATGGTGCGATGAGTGGTATCTTAGCCTCAATAGCAACAAATGCCAACTTATCCGATTACGTTCGAGCAACAGAAGGCCGTTGAGATTTAAATCTCAGTACTTTAAAGGAGGTCACCAACTCGAATCAGTCAACGAGTTAAGAGACCTCGTCGTGTGGATGACGTCAACTCTCAAACCATCGTCTCACTGCGCCAAGGTATCAAAGAAAACTATGGGTACCCTAGGCGCGATTAGAAGATCCTTCGTCAATTTTGATGAAGAACTTTTCGGCCGAGTATTTGGCACATACGTTCGACCAATGTTGGAATATTGTGTCCAGGCATGGTGTCCCTGGACGAAAAAAGATTACACCCTACTGGAGAACGTACAACGTAGAACGACCAGGTTAGTCGGCGGATTATGTGGCTTACCTTATAAGAGACGGCTGGAAAAGCTAAAAATATTTCCTCTCTCTTATAGACAGTACAGAGGGGACATGATCATGGCCTTCAGGATCGTCCGAAGGCTAGACTGTGCTCTTCAGTTTGACGACTTCTTCGAATTGGCGCGGACGACAAATCTCCAAGGACACCCATACAAACTGAAGACGAAACATGCCAGACTCGATTTGCGGGCCAAATTCTTCTCTCACCGGCTGGTTGAGGGATGGAATAAATTGCCGAACTCCGTTGTCTTAGCGGAAAACGTCGAGACTTTCAAAAGAAGACTAGATAAACTTATGCTTGATGGTCAAACATTTACATGATATCAATGACTGGCATAACTGCTATGTAAATATCTGCATGTTTTTTTCATACGTCTATCTGTCAATACGGTTTTCCAAGGCTCTGCGTCTATCCCTTATATATACTGAATTATACTGAATTATTTCAGGAAGGTTAAAATCCCCAGTGATTATTTTAACATCGAAGGCAGCTTCCGAAATGTATTTAAAGATTTCACAGAGTTGTGAATCATCACTGGCTAAAGAATTTGGGGGATTGTCGATTGTTGCATCGAATAAGTTGTCCGGCCGCGTGGCCTTCGTCAATATGAGAGGAGTCCGCCATATGAGGGGATTTTGTCGTCAAAAAATCACTCCGTTCATTATTACTAGTCCATTCTCTCCTTGTTTTTTAAAGGTCGACAGCTGCATCTTCAGCGCCCTCCATTTCATTCTGTCTTGTACTGAGTAATCCGGTTGAAAAAAGACCTTTAGGGTCAGGAAGCCCCCTACTGTTCGTTCAAGTATAAGATTCCTCTGGAGTCTACTTTCTAAAACTACCTTTAAAGACCTTGTTCCATCCTGTTTGAGCGCGCGCTATCCTTAGTGTTTAGTTGGGAAATTCAGGAAAGATGCTGAAGAAGCGTGTCTATGAGTTGTCAAATTTATTGCCTACGTTTTCCCGTCCATCATTTATGGCCGGATGTTGGCCAGCTAATCGGAACTGTGCGTGAATTACACCGTCATGTAGAGGTGGAAGTCTGGTCACTGCAAACTATTACGGGTGTAGTAGGCGGACTGTCCTGCTTCTCTGTCGAAGGGATCAGCTCTGAGTCAAAATCTGTCGTCTTGATAGAACTGGGCGGAGCCAAGGTTAGTTACTTCTTTTCTGAACGGCTGGTTTTTGATCTCAGCATCGCATGGACAGTGTCTAAGACAGGCAGGTGCATGTTGGGTAAGCAAAGGAAGTGTAGATTGTAAACGATGCATGAGGAGTAGGTAGGGATGGAGGGAAGGAAAACAAGACACGTCCATGAGCGCACGTACGTTATGCGAGGCAGAAGCGGAGGGAGAAATTTGGAAATTAAGGTTTCGCTTAGAGGGTACGTTATCCATTGGTTCCTGCTTCGCGTCCAGGCAATTCACCGTCCTCGGCTTCAAGCATTAAAGAAAAGGAAGCGCGCTTAGTTCTGGGCACTACGTCTCTAGTCCTTTTTTAGGTCTGCTCCTTCTTCTGTATCTCTAAAGCAAACCATCCTATCTGGGACTTGTACGGTCTTATTTTTTTTAGTTTACTTCACGTGTGCAGTCTCATGCTAAGGATAAAAATATCAAGGAGTCCAGTTATTCATAATAAGATGTCATTCCTTGACAAGTACGTGGAGGGGTTTTAAAAAGGCCCGCATGCCGTGAATACTTGAGCTAACTTTCCAAGCCGTGCGTCAAATTAGTGGATTAAAAAATGTGATCTTAAGAAATGCAAAACACTGACAAGTCTGCACGAAATAGCCTCGCAGATATCCTTTTAATGACGCAATCTCTGAAGGCGCACTAACACAGGCTGCTTTGCCTCGGTAGCCGAGAATTTCATTGTCAGATTTATATACTCGTTGAAGCACTTCATAGCCCATCTAAGGTCTAGAATTATCCATGGTACCTCCTCACAAACAACTCGTCCGTAGGATTGCACGGATTAATAATTTTTTTTATGAATACAAAACTATTGACCATTCCAACAGAGGACTTATTTACGCAGCTGAAATTTCTATCTAGTAATTAAATAAAAATTTCTAATTTTGTTTAAATGAGTAAACATTTAGTGAAATCCTATAAATCTCATTAATGGACCCGTTTCGAACTACGGATATGGCTGAATCACTTCCTGAGGCTCGCGTTGTCACGCTTCGACAGTGGGAAGGTACTGCTGGCTACGGCTTCGCCGTTGATAAGAATGCAGAAAAAGGATATTTTAAGATCAAGAAGGTCAGCCCAGATACTCCCGCCGCCTCTGCTGGGGTATTAGAGCATGACTTAATTATCGAAATCAATAATACTTCAGCTGGTAAGACCAATTTTAAAAAAATATTCTTTAGAAAAAATAAGCTATAACGAAGTCGTGGAAAGAGTCAAAGTCAACCCAAACAGTGTTACTCTTATGCTTTTACAGCCGGCAGAGAGAGATTGCTTAGTAGCTAGGGGATACAAATTGAATTCCCAGTCATGCCCACTTTACACAGTGGTGGGCCGAGGTGCTGCTGATGAAACAGCAAAGGTAAGTCTGCGTGTTGCATATTTCGCTTGAAAAATACTTGACCTTATTGTTTAATTTAGTGTAGAGTAAGGAAATAATATAATGATGAACATAAACGACCCCCTGTTTGCGTTTTATTTCCTCAAGCTGATAAAAAGACTTCTATCGGAACATAACTTTCAAAATATTTGACTCACAAGACTTAAGTTAAGCAAATAAGGGGCGATCTTTACTTTTTCGAGCACAATATTCCACTGAAAATTTGCATAATGTCAAAACATTATTGAAATGGCAATTCAGATTTAACGACATCACTTTAAAAGCGAGATGTGGTAATGAAAACAACACCAAGACAAAAATCTATTATATCATCTTATAGTCAGTTGCTGAGAAGTCGCAGTTAAAGCCCTTCGAGTCCTCCCTCCTTCGTGCCGATGCCAAAACCCTCGCTTTCCTCTCCAACAAAAGAAAGCAAGCCCTGTCGGCGCTGTGAGGTAGGTTCCTCCAAAATCTTGTTAATTTATCTAAGACAAATACCTCATTTAATTTATTAATCTTAAGACAGTAAGGAATTGTGTTGTTTAAACAACACACAAGTGATAATTATCACTTCATAGTGGAGGTGTAGGCCAGAATTGTCGATTGGTCTAACGATAATTTGACTTTCTCTTTCAGAACCCACCGTTTGATTTGGAGATCCCAGATCTATTTCCCACCGTAAACCTTATACATATAATATATTTTTTGTCTAATTCTATTTTTGTTTCTTTGATAACACAGATCCGAAAGCATTAAGTAGAAAGCTGTAGTCCTTTTTAGGTGGACGATGGGAGTCGAGACCTTATTGCATTTTCGCGACATTGGGCGTGCTAAGCAAAAATGTAAAGTCGACGTCTAGAGCTATCATAATGGGGTTTCGTATTTGCAAGTTAAAATGTAGCGCGTAGGGTAAATTGGTCTGTTGTGATGAGCGAAGGGGTAAGGGCTTTGATTCACTTGACTATGACTGTACTTGTATCTGTGGACGTCTATGTCCATGGACGTCATCTCATTTTAATGTTTAAATGGGGAGTCACGCATGTCATATTTCTAAACGCCTCCTGTATA